TAAATTTTTTAAAGCAACATTTTGTTGTTTTTGGTGTAAAAGCCTTATATTTTATTCTTTATGATGCTATTGTAAATGGGATTTCTTTTTGTTCATTGTTAGGATAAAAATGCAACTGATTTTTGCATGTTGATTTGTATCCTGCAGCTTTGCTGAATTTTGTTTATTAGTAAAAACTATTAATTTTTGTAATGGAAGCTTTCCTAACAAATTGCATGTTTTGCTTAAGCTCAGTTTGCCAGAAATTTTAATGAGTTTGGTGCTTAGAATTAGGACATACTTAATTTTTAAAATCTCTTACCAAAGCCTAGTTTTAAATATGTAGGTAATATGGTTTAATTGGACTCAGTTGTGTGGTTTAAAAATTAATTTTTTTTCCCCCAGTTCTGGGGATTTAACTGAGGGCCACACACATACATGCTAGATAGGTGCTGTAACCATTGAGCTACATCTCTAGATCCTATAATTGTTATTTACATATGGAGATTTATTGTAAATAAGTTGCCTTCATTTCTGTTATGGTCTGAATGTTTCTACTCAAAAATGTTTTTGTTGAAGCCTCATTCCCAAAGCAATAGTATTAAGAGTTACCAGAGGTTAAACCCAGCGTGTTTAACCACTGAGCCATATCCCCAACTCTTTTTTAAAAATATTATACTTTAGAGACACAGACTCACTAAGTTGCTTAGGACCTTTCCAAGTTGCTGTGGTTGGCTTCAAACTCATGATCCTCCTTACCTTTTAGGGGTAATCAGTCATGGTAGAGAAACCTTCCTGAATGAAATTATTGCCCTTATTAAAAGAGGCCTGAGGAAGCTTGTTCATTTCTTTGACCATGTAAAGGTGCAGCAGTAAAGTGGCAAAAACCTTTACCAGACATGGTGGAATCTACTAGTACCTGGATCTTGTACTTCCCAACTTCTAGATCCATGAGAAAGAAATTTCTTTTTTTTTTTTTGGTATTGGGGTTTGAACTCAGGGACATTTAACCACTGAGCCACATCCCCAGTCCTTTAAAAAGTATTTTATTTAGAAACAGGTCTCACTGAGTTACTTGGGCCTCACTAAGTTGCTGAGGCTGGCTTTGAACTTGTGATCCTCCTGCCTCAGCTTCCTGAGCTGCCGGGATTACAGGCATCTGCTAGGTACCTGACTATTTGTGTTATTGTTTAAGACACTCAGTCTTAATGATGTTTTTGTTATAGTAGCCTAAAAGTACTAAAACACTTTGTTAATTTTGCTATACAAAAGATAAAAAGACTAGTAGTTCTGAAATCTGTAGAAATTGACTTAAATTCTAGACTTTGAGAAAAAACTAAAACTAGAAGTGGCTTTCTTACATAAGAAATAAGCAGTATTTCAAATGAATGATTATTTTGTATAGGAAAATATACTATACGACTGTAAGGAAACTATATTACCAGAGATAACAAAAATTCAAAATAAGTTTTTTTTATAAGTTGTTAATAGACCTTTATTTTACTTATTTATATGCGGTGCTGAGCATAGAACCCAGTGCCTCACACATGCCAGGCAAGTGCGCTACTGCTGAGCCCCAGCCCCAGCCCCTCAAAATAAGTTTTAATCAACCTTACGATGAATCTGATAGTGGAAGAATCCCTTGGTCTCATGGTAAATTTCTCAGTGCACTGTGCCGAGTCTGTTGCCAGAATAACTGGCTCTAATTCATAAGACATTATGTTAAGTATCTTCTAAATGCTGAGTGTTAGAATAAGTAGAATAATAAGACATTGTCTTTGCTTCTTGAAGTATAACTTATCATAGTGTTAGAGTAATAGTAAAAATAACAATCTATTATTAATAGAGATTAACATAGTAACAGTATTATGGTATGTGTATTAATAGAGATTATATAGTAATAGTAACAGTGATAATAATTATTACTATTATTTAATATTAATAATATTAAGTTACTATTATTACTGTTATATTATTGCTGCTATTCTATTCTGAATTTATAGTAAAATATTGCCTAGCATATCAAATAACACGCTGATACATTTTTATCTAATCACATTACACATGATACTATTTAATATTAACTTTGCATGTTATGTAATTAATTTTATTTTTAAAATGCATTTATAATTAGGGCAAATGTTGATATTTATAGAAGATATTGAACAGTAGTTGTTAAATTTTGGTGTTTATTTTTGCAAAAGTTAATTATGCTATATTATGAGGATCACAGATAATATAAGCCTTTTCTTTTAGATTAGGCATGTATCACCTTATTCAAAAAATGTTTTTAAGGTGTTATATAACACTAAATATCAGAATTCCAGCCATAATTTTTGAAATTTATTTTGAGGAGTAACTGTATTTGAGAAATTTTTTTACACAATCACCTATTTGAAAAATTTTGCCTTTATAGTTTATAGGCATTTATTCTTTATATTACTGTAACTGAGGAAATTGATGTGAAATGGGATGTTAGTCTGTGGGATGTATTGTATATAATTTTGAATGTGAAGTTCATGTCATTATTGAATATAAAAGTTTAAATTATATTTTTTTGAAAATATTTTAGTTGTTGATAGACCTTTATTTATTTATACGTGGTGCTGAGAATCAAACCCAGTACCTCACATGTGCCAGGCAAGTGTACTAGCACTGAGCCACAGCCACAGCCACCTGTCGCCCCTCCTTTTAAATATTTTTTTAGTTATTGTAAATTAGGTTTTTATGTAGTTGTTTTTTCTTGGTACTAAGGAACATGTGCTATTAAATCTGAAGGAGAACTTCAAAACTATATAATTGGGCCAACTCTTTTGTTTTTCTTATAAGGAATCAGGGAAAGTAAATTATTTGCTTAAGTTCAGGTCGCAAATACAATGGCTCAATGTAACTCCAACTAATTTTGTGCACTGTTATAGGTATATTCTATATTGGAAAGGACTTGGCTTTTGTGTCAGATTATCAGTTCAAATTCTGGCGCAGCCCTAGTTAGCCTTCTGCCAGAAAAGTCCAGGCACTGAAAATTAATTGATATTTTCTGTTAGTGGCTATTCATACTTAATAGATTCCATTCACATGTAAGTACTTTTGAAGTTGTGGCCATACCATTTTATCCCTTTTTGAAGTATTTACACTAGAATTGTTATTCTAGTCACTCTAGATGAGCAAGTGGACTCCTTCTAAAATCATGTTTTATAGTTTGCAAGTCAGGGTCTTCTATATCCTTTGGGGGTAAAACGATGAAAAATAACAGTATTACTCATTTGCTTTTAAAAAGCATAGCAAATAAAATTTGTTGGATTTAAAGACCTTTTCTGATCTGTACCCATCTCCTGAATTATCTGTCTCACTTGTTCACTAAATAGTTCTGTGACATTAGATTTTGTTGGCAGAGGTTGCTTGAGTTTTATGTAATGCAGATTGTTTGTTTCTTTAAGTTGCCTGTTTCCCCCTCTTTCAAGTTTTCAAACCAGTTATTACAGCTTAAAATGTGTGTGTGTATGTGTATGCACATATGTAGTCATATTTTCCTTTGTTTTGATTTTATTACCACCTGCCTTTTTTGTCAAGTTACCCGGTGCTTTAGTACTGTAAGTTCAGTTGTGCATTGCTTCCTATGCACATATGAGACTGACATAAAAATAGATTTCTTTCTATATTCTGAATAGCATTAATGAATGCAGGATCAATTCTCTTTGGCTTAGGTTGGGTTGTCACTGTGGCCTATGCGATGAAATGTTCTGGGCAAGCCTTGGTTATATGTTTACCCCTAAATGTAGTAGTGCAAATGGGATACAATTATTTCAGTAAGCTCTATAAGAACCATTTGAACTCAAAAAATGAGGGAAATGGGAACTTCTAAGGAAAGTCAGGATTCTTTTTACTAAAAACTAGGTAGATTAGAACAATAGTGTTTATGATAGTATAAAAATCTTATAAAATTATGCTATTAGATCGCAGGTTAGTGAGTGATTACTTTAAAGTCATTTGGGAAGCTTTTAAATATCTTGGGTCGATGCCCTGACTGTACCCTGGACCAGTAAAACCAGAAATTCTGCAAGTAATATAAAATTCCTCAGCAATACTATGCAAATAAGAAGGAGGTGGACAGAGTTGATGGAGTATTTAGTTAGCAAGGGTTCAATAAGAGGGGTATCAGAGAAGTTCCTGTGGGTGAAGCATGATCCCATAGGGAGCGCAGGGAGTCCTCATAGCCAGGAAGGGACTTACAGTTTAGGAAGTCATGGAATAATCTCCAGTCTGGAAGGAGACCCAGGAAGAAAAAAATGAAGCCTGGGATTCAAGCCCAGTTTCATAATGTATATTGAAAATCTAAAGAATCAGGATCTGTTCCTGCTAGCTTCAATGGATGTTTGTCTAGAGCAGTAGTTTAGGAGTCTGATTCACCAGTGGATTGCCCATTAGTTGGTCAGAAGTGAAGACAAATGCTTCAAAGTTACTTAGGGTCCTGCTTGAGAGGTCAAATGATGAATCTGACCCTCTCTTGAGTTGTGGCACCATAACTTAACAAAATTCTTCTGTGATACTTACTAAGTGTGATAAAGTTGATTTTACCATCATAGTAGGTATAGGGACCACAGCAGTGGGATTTTACAGTAGTTTGGGAAAAGAGATTGGGCTCAACTCCAAATATAGGATAGGCTAGTAGAAATTCATAGCCAAGTGAGCAGGATGGGTGAGGTCGGTGGATCAAAAATTGCTGAGGTTACATCAAGAGTAAGGGGCATTCTGGTTAAACTAGCCCAACACGGTTCACTGAAGGTAGTCCAGGGTAATCAGACATCACATACCTGATGATAGGGGATAAAAAAAAAAACCTCAGGGTGTCTGACTTAGCAGGGTTTGTCTGCTAAAACTGGATTTTATAAGGAAATGCATGGAAATACCTAGGAGACATTTGAGAAGCCTGACTAAAGGTTAGTTAAGTGAAAAACCTATGGCAATAGATGTAAACTTTATGATGCTAATTTTTTTCTTTTATGCTGTTTTGTTTTAAATAGGCTGATAGCGCGCCAGCTTGCTAAAGTCCATGCTATCCATGCACATAATGGCTGGATCCCAAAATCTAATTTGTGGCTCAAGATGGGAAAATATTTCTCTCTCATTCCCACAGGATTTGCAGATGAAGACATTAATAAAAGGTAAAACTACTTTCATATTTGCAATTGTTTTCATCGCTTTGCTCTATAATAGGGACTAAAAGGTGGTAATTACAGTGTTTCTATGTATTAAAATTTGATTTTGTTTATCTCTGTGTTGAAGTTTAAAAAAGCTTGATTCTTTGACTTTCAAATGACACTACAAAAGTAACTACCTCTCTATCCCCCTGAAGATCCTGCCCACGGAAGGGGGAAGGTACACAAAGGGGCAAGAAACAAATATTGAGCACATATTTAGAAATAATTATAAAGATCACTTATGAATGCATACATTTTTCCCTACTATGAATTTTCCATAGAGAGTTTTTTAAAAAAATTCTTCTTAATTCAAAGTTGTTTTGAGAAAAGACAGATCTACTTTGGAACAGTATGGTAATATTGGATAAGTTTGGGTTGTCTTAGTTTACTGTGATAACTTAAATGCCAGATAATGAATATTAACATTCATTTGTTGGAGTCTTACACAGCTTTTGTAAGACTGACTTCCTAGGTTGCAACTGACTACAGTATTTCCTTGATTTCTACATTAAAAAATTATATATCAGTATTTAGAATCTAAATAATATGAATGTATTTTTATATAGTATGGTTATTACTGATAAAATTGGAAATTTTTATTATGTTCTTTATATCTAAAACATGTGAAGGCTGTATCTTTGTATTTAGAAAGTCTTTGTTTTTTAAGAACATGTAGGCAAGCAGGACTTTTAAATTTTTTTCCTTGTTTGCTGCGTTCCTGGCAACATAAACACTCAGACTTTCGCCCACCTAGGGACTCTATTTGCCAGGTTGCTCGTGACTAAAACACTCAGGGGGTCACTCCAGGGGAACTGGGCTAACTGGGCTGCACAAAATAACCACACGAGACAGAAATACCTTTTTCTTTGGGGATGCTGTGACAGCACCTCTGACCTTAAGGATCCCCAGAAAGAAAGAAAGAAAGAAAGAAAGAGCACGTGCTGACCCCTTTTATTGAGGAGAAGCTATTCAAATGAGGCAAGGGATCAGGTTTCAGGGGGCTGAGTTCAGCTTCATGACATCTGCTGTCAGCAGGTTGACTGACATCTAGGTAGGCCATACCCTAGGGCACAGTAAGAGAAGGGAATATACAAAGGGCGTTTCCATGGAACATTCTATCCTAAACAGGGCAAGGGGTAATATTACAAAAGAACAGGTGAGCATAGCTCCACCCATGGGAATGTAGGAAGACATGCCCATGCAGGAAGACACAGTGGCTCACACCCTAAAAATTGGGGCTATCCTCTGGGTTAGACCTACGACAATGCCACACCAATCAGAAGGGGAGATAAGATGTGGTCATGTGCTAGCTGGCCTCCCACATTGTTTATTTTTATAGTTTATTAGGGAAAAATTGTCCTCAAGTTTAATTATTTCAAAGTTTAATTTGATCTGCTCTGTGTGGTTGGCCCTCTGTTTCTGTAGGCTTTGTACCCACAGATTCAAGCAACTACACATAAAAAATACTTGAAAAAAATTACTTCTGTACTAAGACGTACATTTTTTTTGTTATAGTTCCCTACACAATACAGTATAATAGCTATATATAATTTACCTTATTATGTATTATTAGTAATCTAGAGATGATTTAAACATAGGAGAGTATGTGCCTAGGTAAGGGACTTGAATTGAGCATCTGTGAATTTTGGTATCCTGGAACCAATCCCCTGCAGATACTGAGGGACAGAACTATATGTGTTTGTATTTGTAAGTGGTTTGTCAATGTTGGAATTTCATAGGGATATTATATTCCTCAAGCTAGAATAGGCAAACTTTTGGAAGTATGTGTAGTGTGTTGATATTATGGAAGCCACCACATAAAAATAGACAATTCTTTCTTGAAATAGCCATTTTATTGAAAGATTTTTTGGGAAGCCGTTTTAAAATAATGAGGTGGCCGGGCATGGTGGTGTATGCCTGTTCCAGCTACTTTTGGGAGGCTGAGATAGGAGGATCACAAGTTCCAGGCTAGTCTGGGCAACTTGGTGAGACCCTAGCTCTACTCTAAATAAGAAAAATGAAATGTTCTGGGGCTGTATGTAGCTTAATAGTATATCCCTTAGCAGAGTGCGAAGGAGAGAGGTAAATGATGATGATGAACCAAGAGTTTTTTAATTTTTAAAGATAATGCAGAGTTGAAAGAGTACAGTATTATGTAGATTAAGAGCCTAAGACTTGGATCCAGATTGAGATCATATCCTAGTTCTGCCAGTAGGCATTTCTGCTGTGTAACATTGGGTAAATCATCTTAACTCATTTCCTCTTCTATAAAATAGAAATAAGAATAGTTTTAGATAAAGTGCTTAATTAAAACAATGCCTGGCTTCATAAATGCCAAATTAAAACTATTATTATTATTCAAAAGGGATTATTTAGGTCTTTTTTTGCATGTGGTACTGAGAATAGGATGGAATCCTAGGTGAGCTCTGTGACTCTGTGCTATATACCTAGCCCTTCAGGTTGGTTTTGAGCTTATATTTCCTAGACTCTCTAAGGTACACTTTAAAATCTGTATGGTTAGTGAAACTTTGGAAAAGCAAGTAGTGTACCATGGTAAATAAGAGAGAGAAAACACTCTGCTTCAATAGAAAATACACATCTAGAACAAAAACAATTAAAATTCCCTTTTGTTTGTGAATGATTATAATCAGCTTGTTGATAATCTTTATAATCCTTTGAACCCTATTATTTCCACTCAACTCCGTACTTTTTTTTTTTTTTTGAAATTCTGGAATAGTCATTCCATTTTGAAAGGAACTTATAAGAATTACTTTTAGAAGTTATTTATAGAGAACAGTGCAGTAGTGGGGAAAATACATACAGTTCAGTAATGTAAAAAAGGTATATTGTAAAATGGAAAACTAAGGAATAATTTGAGAGATTATAGAGAAAGAATCAAGAGAACTTGACAAATATTAAGAAGGAAAAGAGTAAATCAACAGCAGTCATCACCTGATGATACTGTTGAGGAATTTAGTAGCCCATTTTTGTCATTTCATTTTTATCAAATTGATACAAATGTAGCATAATAATTAGTATCAAAGAGTATAGAATGAAAAGCCACAGTTTCTAGTTTCTCTCCTCATGCTGCCCTGCCCTTTCTACTCTCACAATTTTAAGACATTTTCTCGTGAGTTTGTTGTTCACATAATTATATAATATGAATGTACTTATATTTCTTGAATTATTAATGGTAGACAATAATCAATTGATTTTTTTTGGAACTGTACCTGCTTTATATTGCATTCACTCTTCATTACTTAAAGTAGATATTTTTAATTTTTAAATAGTTTTTATAACTTTAAATAATATTCTTTTAAAACTTTTTATTAAATTCTTTGTATTTTTTATTCATAAAATGGAGATAAATGCAGAATATTTAGAATAATATTTAGTAAATGTTATCTGTTAGCTATTTATGTTACTCTTTCCTCCAATTTTGTAATTATAAATCTTATTTTTCTGCCCAACTTTATTTTTTTGTCGTACTAGGGATAGAACCTAAGGGTGCTCTGAACAACATCCCCAGACCTTTTTATTTTATTTTATTTTTTTATTTTGAGACAGGGTCTTGTTAAGTTGCTGAGGCTGGCCTGGAACTTGTGATCCTCCTGCCTCAGCCTCCCAAGTAGCTGGGATTACAGGTGTGTGTTACCTTGCCCAACTCTGCCCTACATTTTAACTTTGGCTTTGTTTCTTTTTAATGCATATTTAGTTTATTATAAAGATCTTCTGTATTTCAGCTTTTGGAATACATTGATCTATTAATTCAGGATCGTGTCTAATTAAATGGAAATAACTTACTTAAAATAGATATTAATCCTTAAACTTGAAAAAAATGTCATTAAGATAAACAAGGTGTAACTCTTCTTTTAAAACTAAAAGGTTCCTAAGTGATATCCCAAGCTCTCAGATTCTTAAGGAAGAGATGACTTGGATGAAGGAAATTCTTTCCAACCTGGGCTCTCCTGTTGTGCTTTGCCATAATGACCTATTGTGTAAGAATATAATCTACAATGAGAAACAAGGTAGGTATTTGATATTAGCAGTAAGTAAAATTGACTGCTTCTATGTTCTTAATGGTTCTTTGATCTTTGTATTAATAACAATAAATGCAATTCAAATGTAAAGATTAAAAACATTCACAAAGCCTCTAAAGAATTTCTTTTAGGTTATAAAGTCATGGTAAAATATTTTTAAAAATTGGTTGGTAAGAAACAGTTTATGGTTCCTATTGGATTTTTACTTGTATAATGATTAAATACTGTTTTCACATATAATTCTGAAACCTGTTTGAGGTTTTATGATTTTAAATTATACCTGCTTGTAATGAGGGTTGTAGAAAATCAACAAATTGACATTGTACTGCTTTGTTTTCATATTTACAGAAAATTTCCCACAGTATTGTTAAAGACAGCAGTATTAGAAACAAGTGTGTCTGTAGGTTTTCTACTACCTGTTTCTTATGCTGATTTGTTAGACATTTTGATGCTAAGGAGAGAGCCAGAGAGGGAGAAAATGTTATTTGAATTTGTCCAAATTTATATCTACTAAAGTAATAATCAAGAAGCTTTGGTAATAGCTTTTAACATTTTTTGAGTTAGAAATTGATACTTTTTGGTGGAATGTTTTTTGTGAGTGTTCATATCTTGCTGTGTTCGAATTTTCTCTGTTTTCATATCTAAGAAACATTTGATTGTATTATATCATTGGGTAAAGTGGATTGAGGTTTGGTTGCTAAATAATAGATGCCCTTCAAATACTAAATTGAAAGTTAAAAATACAATTTTGGTTAAAGAATTAATATTAATTAAAAGTATATTGAAACTATGAAGCTATTGCTTTTCATAGGAAACTGGTTTTTAAAGATATTTTAGATGGAAGACCATATTTTTAATCCAAAGTGTGCTGTTGTGAATATACTAAAGCCAAAGAATTCTCATTAACATGGTCAAAATCATGTTGAATTATTACTATGACCCTTCTTATCATATTATAAGTTTAGACTATTGTAATATAAGGGTTATTAATATTAATAGATGGCTTCAATGTGAAAACCAACCAAAGCAACACTGTCAAAGATGGTAGATGTAAGCACATATTTTAAAGAACGTGTTTATATTATGCTTGTTATGTTTAAAAAAATTTTTTTTAGTTGTAGATGGACACAATATATTTTTTTTAATGTGATGCTGAGGATCGAACTCAGTGCCTCACGCATGTGAGGCAAGCACCCAACCACCGAGCTACAACTCCAGCCCAATGTTTGATATCATGGATTATAGAGTATATCTTTTGAAAACATAATGAGCCTACATCTTTATCTTGAAGCATCTTAAAATTTTTATGTGGTATCCTTTTTTTATTTTAAACTTCAGTACATTCTAAAACATTGGGCACGTGACAGTGTCCGTTAATGAGTTATTGTATTATTACATATGATTATCATAGTATATATGTATTACATTATTTATTAGTAACCAAATCTCAATGCTGTTTGTGAGAAAAAAGCATTAGTTATGCATTAAAGCAATGTATTAGCTTTTAAGTTCAGTTCAAGACCTAATAACACCTTATAACAGAATTTCAAGTGAGGGACTCATCTTACATTTGAAGTGGACACTCAGCTTTATTTTTAACTGCAAGTTAATCAAAGACGATCTATTATTTCCTTTGGAATATAATTTTCACCTTTCATATTTTTGTTTTTATGAGTTTCTTTTGCATATTCATTTCATAGAACAAACTTGTTTATAAAACAAAAAATAAGGGACCAAAAAAATCAGATTACTTTGCCTTAGGTATTTTAATTTTAATAGTTGCCTATATCTAAACTATTCAGTTATATGGAAAATTCCTGTATTTTCAAATAAAATCTTCATGCTTCAATTGGTTTTTTAAGAGGTCAAGGTTGTCTTTTATTTTATTTTTTTTAAAAACAAAGAGTTAAATGAATCATCATTTTGTGTCTTGATTTTTCTGTGCTACACAGAATAAATTTTACAGCTCCACAAATGTAACTATTTTGATTCATATTATTAGAGCTCACCCTTTTTCAGAAGTCCATGTTGTACCATTTGTTTCTTCTTTGTGGTTATGTTTGTGTGCTAGTTTTGGAAAGGTGGTATTTTTTCCCCCCATTAGCAGTCAGTTTTATAATGTTGTTTGGAAGCTAATTTGGACCTCGTGGCATCCATTTGAAAAATGCAGTCAGTTCATATATAATTAATTGATATACACAGGACATTAAAAAACTTCTACAGAATCTTATAGGACACTTACAAAATTGCTYGATTTTAAGTTTTTATAGCTGTCCTATGAATAGGACAATGGGACATGGATTTTGAGAAAGAAAATATAATTTGAATGTCAGTTAAAATATCAAGAAAGTATTAAGAATTTTATTCAAGTCTTTAATAATAGATTTCAAATTAGGAGCTGATGATTTTGAGGTAATATAACCATATTATTTATTTGAGTCTTTAGTTGTAAGTAGAAGATACCATGCCTCATATTCTTTAAATTAAGTAAGCTTAATGTACAATTAAGTAAGTTTAATTCACATAAGTGATTGTAGTATAGATAATTTAGTTATGGCAACAATCTCAGAAAGGTTTATTAAAACTACAGATGTGATGGGGCTGGGGTCATGGCTCAGTGGTAGCGTGTTTGCCTAGCATGTATGAGGTACTGGGTTCGATTCTCAGCACCATATACAAATAAATAAAGGTCCATCAACAACTTAAAAAAAAAAAAAAAGAAACCTACAGATGTGGACTGCAAAGTTATTTACTTTTTTTAACTGGTTACCTAAGGAGCCAATTTGAATCTTTTGAGATTGAGATAATTTCCACATAGAATTCTTAATTAAATTGTATACTGGATTCACAGACATGTTTGATTTGTTGTTCTCTTTACCTCATTCGTGTGATTTGACCTGAAGGCCTTACTATTTTATTACCTACCTTGTGAGATTCAAATAGATAAAAAAGTAATAGATGAGAGCTCAGTGGTAGAGCACTTTTGCCTAGATGGCTAAGGCCCTGAGTTTGAGCCTCTGCAACATTGTTCTCTCCCAAAACACAAAAGATGAAAGCCAAGGGGCTGTCCTTAGATGGCATCAAGTTCAGTATTTCTCCATAAAATGTTTGAGACAATTTCTCTCAGAAGTGCAAATTTTAGACAGACTTAAAAAATTTTTACAGGACCATCTTGAAAGTCTGTGTCTCCTATATCTATATCTTTATCTCTATCTGTGTGTATTTTTAATTTTTATTTTTACAGTACTGTGAATTGAACCCAAGTGTGCTCTACCACTGACGTATATACTCTCAGTTCTTTTTTATTCTGAGATAGGGTCTCCCTAAGTTGCTGAGGATAGCCTGGAGTTTGTGATCCTCTTGCCTTAGTCTCCTCAGCGCATGGGCAACCATGCCTGGCTCTGTGTGTATTTTTTTTTAATATTTATTTTTTAATTTTAGGTGGACATAATATTTTTATTTTATTTTATTTTTTTATATGGTGCTGAGAATCGAACCCAGAGCCTCAGGAATGCTAGGCGAATGCTCTACCACTGAGCCACAACCCCAGCCCCTCTGTATGTATTTTTAAACCATAATAGTTCAGATTTTCTGTTTTAACTAGAAAAATCACCAATAAACGATGTATTCAAGCTTAGTTACAACCAAGAAAAGTTATAGATTTTGGAAAAAGAATATTTCAGTCACTTGAAGTAAATGGTATATAGACCAATTGTTTTATTCTTTTAGAAGTATTTAGGTTTGATTTTTGACTATTTACTTCACAATCTCCTGGGGTATTTGGCAAAAGTGCAGATTTCTGGGTCCCATCCAAGGCAAACTGAACAAGAGCTTCTATAGGTAGGCTTAAAAATCTGCATGTTTAACAGCTTCCCAGGCAGTTCTTTTACTATTGATAGTATAGAACTTGTGTTTGCTTTATTTTTAATTTAGAGATAATGTGACTTAAGATGCTTACTGATAAAATTTTAGATTTAATGCACATAAAATATATAAGACAGACCAAGCACTTAGCAGCTCCCAGTTGCGATTTTTTTCCCTTAAGGATTTAATATGTCTTTTAGGCTTTGTAATCATACTGTGGTCTCCATTAAATATATTCAACTCTATGTTATAGCATGAACATAGTCATAGGCACTGTATATACATAAATAAACAATGTGCCAACTCGTATATTATCTATACAGTATGCATTTTATAACATGTGTCTGGTTATGACAAAGTGAAATTCACTAATTTATTACTCACTGTGATTAGTAGATTTATGGCTTATAGGTGTGAGATGGTAACTTGTTTTATCTTTGTGCAGTTTTTTCTATCTTAACTGTAACTAGGGTGATTAATTTAAAATTTTTTAAAAAGTGTGTAGATGGGAGTATATATGTTCCTATGCTTTAAAAAAAATTTTGTAGTTGTAGATGGACAGAATGTCTTCTTTTATTTGTTTGTTTTTTTTTTTTTTTTTTTTTTAAAGAGAGAGTGAGAGAGGAGAGAGAGAGAGAGAGAATTTTTTTAAGATTTATTTTTTAGTTCTTGGCGGACACAACATCTTTATTGGTATGTGGTGCTGAGGATCGAACCCGGGTCGCAGGCATGCCAGGCGAGCCACATCCCCAGCCCCCAATCTTTTATTTGTTTATTTGTGGTGCCAAGAATTGAACCCAGTGCCTCACACATACCAGGCAAGTCGCTCTGCCACTGAGCTATAGATCCATCCCTATTTCTATTCTTTCTTAACTATAATTAGGATGATTAATTTAAAATTTAAAAGTGTATAGGTAACATTCTTACACAGTGCATTCAAAGACTGTAAGAATCATGCAGTTTGACCTTTTCATGTGCAAATGTTACAGGAAATGATGCCTCTGTTTGTTCTCACCATGTCAGCTGATAGGACTGAGGAATATGTGAGAAGACTGAGCTTAATTTCTAAAATGGATGATAGCTCTCAAGATTTTTGAAAAGTCAGTGCTAGGAATTAGGTGGTT